TCATACGTTAGCAGAGTGAACAGGAGGGGGCTCAGCCCTGGGGTGAGCCAGTGCTGAAGAAGGAGATGGTGTTGTGGATCCTGACAGTCTGAGGTCGGTTGGTCAGGAAGTCTAGGACCCAGTTCCCCATTGTGGAGCTCAGTCCAAGGGAGGAGAGCTAACAATAATAAAGGGTCACTCTGTCTTTTAGCGTTTTACCACAAAACCTCAATAACATGTTGTATTTTCCAGGTTTCACTTGGTTCCTTGGCATTCACTCCCCACCCACTGACAGCAGACCAACTATTTCTTGATGCAGTAAACAAATACTATTCCATTCCAGTCAAGAGAAGCAGGGCTTACTCCTGAATGACCGTGTTTGTTACCGTAGTCCCAGATGTTCTGTTAAGGATGTCAGTAATAGGTAGCAGATTCCAGCACAAAAGCTCCCCCGCGCCGCACTGCTCACCTATTAACCAGCAGGTTTAGTTCCCACAGCCTTGAAGAAGCAAAATGAAGCGAGCGCGGAAAACTGAAGTCGCACAATGCTCCACGGAAATAAATAATAAAGTGTAAAATGAAGCAATAAACCTCATTTTCAGGCCACACATCAAAACCAAAAGGGTTGACCGGGTCAGTGCAGAATGAAATCTTGTAGAACACAACATAATGGTTATCTCCTGTAATAAAGGTGCTCTTATGGCGGCTCTGGGATGGCCTTGTGTGTATTGTCGGCATTCATCAGCCCCTGCATCTTGATGGTGCATGAAGATTACACCATGTAATCTGAGCAGGAGAGCGTGGAGCCGAAGAGTGGAATGAATGAGGAGAATTGGGAGAATTGGAGTGCTCGGCTCGGATTGCGTTTGGTTTTGACTTCATCTGCAACACCTGTGATTGTAAAACATATTTCCATTAAGGCTGTTCATAAGAGCGCTCTATGTTTACTAAATAAGCCTCGTACACTACACAACAATTGCAATATTAGATTGCCTTGAAATCTGATTAGAAGCTACACAATAAGAATTGTTTTTCCTTTGTATTGAATGTGATCTCTACAATCAGATCACTGTAACAATTGCCCTCCTGGGTCAGTAAGATGTTATTGTTGGAGGAAATTAAATACTGCGCTGAAACAGACAATCATGTTATTTTATTATATTTCTTTGATACAGCGAGGCTGCAAAGTGAAAGCGCTGGAGAGAGTATTAATCAGGGGGTTTCCATCTTGCTGGCTGCCGCAGCCAGGGTCAACGAGATGATCACACACATAAATAACAGGCCCAACAGCAGTCAGAGGACGCACAAGGGCAGCAAAGCAGACATGGAATTAGACGGCAGTTTTGAATCAAAGTAATTTTATCTGCAACTCAGATTTATTGGTCCTTGATGGACATTTAGTAGTAATGTGACTTCTAAAAAAAATGAAACTCCAACTTTGGTTTGTTATTCAATCCAACTAAATTTTAAGTATACCAATGCAGTATAAAATGTATAAAGTGATACATATATATAGACATATAAAATACTAAGCTGCAGCCTGAAAGCAGGGTTTGTCACTCATAGATGTGGAACACATGCATTTTAACTTTTACTGTCCTTGTTTTGTTATATCTTTTTTTTCCTCTATTTAGCTTTTTAGTTATGTTGAAATGTCATTTTTGAAAATATCAATTCATATAACATTTACACTTTGTCTGGATGATTTTTATGTTTTATGTAAAGCACTTTGAGATGTCTTGTCATTGTAATGCGCCTTACAAATAAAGTTGCCGTGTCTCTATTCAAGTGTCCCACTAAGCAACAGGGAGACCCAGAGCAGCCTTTATTAATTGTATCATTTAAACCTGCTTTTCTTATCATCAAGGATGGGGAGTGGGAAACATAGACTGTATAAAAGATGGACGTAGCTACCGTGACGTTACCTGTTGATTTCTGCACTGAGAAAATGAAGCCAGGGTTTTGCTACTTCCTGGTTGACATCTTGGATTTTTAGAGCCAGTGACGCAAAAATCGTCGGAGGGGGGGGCGGAGCCATAGGAGCAGCGATTGGTCAGACAGATTGAGAGGCGGGCCCTCTCTGCCCGCCCACATTTACCGCCTTCTGCTCGCTTCATCTGTATGGTCGCTGCCGACTGTCAATCAAGCCAGCCACGCCCCTTGCCCCGCAAAATGTTGATGATTTTTTAAAAATTCAGTATTGATTTATTTTCAGATTGGCCACCTGATCTCTGGATTTGCCGATGAAAACTAATAAGAAAAAAATCCTGAGCTGGAGGAATGCGGTATTTCGTGATCTGTGATCACTTCCTTTCCAATACAAGTCTATGGGAGCCAGGACTTTTTGGAGCCAGCAACTAGCGGACGTAGGTTTTTGACACTTCTGGGTTGGTTTCATTTTTCAGGGCCGGTTGCTACGTCCATCTATTATACAGTCTATGGTGGGAAACAGTGTGCATTGGATGTCATAAAGGTATCCGCAGTAACATGTGGAAGGAGTTTGATTGGAAGATGAAGACAAGGTTCTTTAGGACGCCTTCTGAGGTCTCTAAATTTGTAGATAACCCAGCTGCAATATACTGTTTGGGAGGTTGTGGAGGGGTTGGCGACCACTCACACTTATTTTGCTTCCTTTTTGGAAGGAGGTAAAGAGTGAGATAGATAAAGTTTTGGGAATTAATATACTCTTCACCCCAAGTCGGTTTCTTTTTGATCTAACTCCTGAAGGCATGTACACTGGAGACCAAAAGCACTTGTTACATATACTCCTGATGACTGCTAGGAAAATGGTGACAGTAAAATGGATGAACCCACAGCTACCTACTGTGGCACAGTGGAAACAGAAGCTGAGGGAGGTGTATGGAATGGAGGCTTTAACTGCTCAATTACATTTGAGGTCTGATGTTTTTGTGAGGAGGTGGCTACCCACAGCAAGATACCTCTCTAAATGAGGGGAAGCTCACATCATGCTGGAAAGTCTTAACTGTCTACTTATTATTTTTTCACTCATCACTCAGTATTATTATTATTTTTATTTTATTTTATTTTATTTTATATTATTTTATTTTATTTTATTTTATCTCTTGCACTGTCATACATGCTTTGTGATGTTGCCAAGGAATGTTTGTACTGTGTTTCTCATTAATAAAAAAATAAAGTTAAAAAAATAAACCTGCTTTTCTTATTGCAAGATGTAAAAAATAAATGGTGTAATATAATATTTATCTGTTCAACAATATAATAAGACAATCTAAGATGATAGAATACAATACAACAGAAAGTTTATAATTTAATTATAGTTCCTTATTAAATAAGAATTAATTTGAT